GAGGCTGATGCTGTTTGGAAATGCAGTCACACTCCTCTACGGCATTCTCCCACCCGCTGCTTCAGCCACCACACTGAGAGGAGAGCAAGGCCGAGTCAGGCAGCCTTGGAGAGAACCACGTGGGCCCTGCAGGTCCGACTGAACCAGTGTGGTGGGCTTAGGGACGGCCATTCCCTTCGCCTTAAAATCTCCCGACTTTACCCTGAGATAGCCCACACCCAGCAACCCCGAAGCGAGGGCAAGAGGGTTCTGTGACCTGCTACCGTCTCAAAAATAAAAACGACCCTAAACGCAAACCGCGTGCATTTACATTTTGATAGAAGCAAAGCTTTTCCTTGGAAAACGAACTAAGCAATCACAGCTAATGAGGTCTCGAGTCAACGCACTTATTAATTTTTAAATGCGACCTTTCCCACAGTAAGTAGGGCGAGCGCGGAAACCGCTTCTTGCGCAGATGCCCAGGGCTCTGGGAGCAGACGCCACTGCTCTCGTTTCCGAGACACGGCCTGGCTGTCCAGAGGGCACCCCGGTCTGGGAACACGCCACCCCTCCCCTTTCCAGACCCAGAGGCGTTCCCCGGTGCTCACCCCTGTACCCCGACTGCCAGAAGCCCCGACTGCGATGGGCACGACTCACGCGGGAAACGTACAGTCAGGAGCTCGGTGAGATGTGAATCTACTCGGAGTCTCCAGCTTGCAGGAAAGCTGCAGAAGCTGCTTCTAAACGACCCCAGCAGGTATGTGCTGAGGCTCAAACTCACGCGGGTGAGTCCGCAGGCAGCTGGGGTCTGCACTGGCTGTACAGTTTGCAGAGCGTGTGCTCCGCAGTCTGCTCAGCACTGGGGTCGGCGTCACCGTGTGAGTGATCTGAGCTCCAGGGAGCTTTAGGGACTTGCTGGGGCCCCAAGGCACCACCCAGCTCCGAGTTGGGGGCACCCGACCTGGCATCTTCTCTGGCCACTGCCACCCAGCTTTCTGGTGTCCTACGGGGACAGGGCCCTGCACAACACAGAAGGAGGGACTGCCACGCCGGCCCCCAGCTGCGCACGCTCACTTTTAGGCAGCAGACTTAACCACATGCCCGGGGCAGCCCTCCCGGGGGGCTGGGGTGTCGAGGGAGCCCCGTCTTACCTCATCGGTGATCTGGCCTCCAAAGGTCACCCAGGTTCCTGGAAGCAAGACACACAGGTGCAAGTCAGAGAACCCGCCAGGGGGCCAGACTCCCCCAGTGGGCGCCGGGCCTCGGGCTGCAGGGCCCAGGGCCAGCCACAGGTGGCCACGCTGTGTCCTCGGTGTGTGGGGACACTTGGCCTTCAGGGCAAGACTTGCTCTCTTGGGGCCACCAGAGTGAGGGGACAAGAGGCTCCAGAGCAGGCAGCCGGCTGCAGGCCCCGGAGGCTCGTCGTGACTCGTGCCGATGCGGCTCCTAGTGCAGGGACGTGCTGCAGGGGACGGCGCCCCGAAAACACGCAAGGCCTGGCAGCCTCGTCCTTGTGCTCCTGCGGGGACGAGGACGGGCGGGTGGGGTGGCAGGCAGGGCGGGCACACTGTGCGGCCCCGAGGTGGAGAACAGTATGTTCTGGGAGGAGAGCTCGCAAGTGGAGAGAAAGGGGAGAGCACAGAACCTGGCCCTTCATGAGCCACTCTCCTGTGGAACTGAGCCCGGCCTTGGCGGGAAGGAAGTCTTCCCGGCACACCTGGGCCGGGAGCTTCTCCGATTCTGTGGGGCCCGAGCTTGTGTGCAAAGGGCCTCCCTGTTCCCCGCGCCTGCTTGGCCAAGGCTGTACCCGTGTCCCCTCTCTTCCCCAGGCCCCTCTCGCCCGCCTCTTTGTTGCCCTGGCAACCGAGTCCCTGGAATCCTAGGCTCTGGGTGCAGCTACCCGCTGGGGGTGACAAGGGTCGGGAGCCCACCTCCCTGGGGGCCCACTTCAGCCATGCCCAGCCCTCCCGCAGCCCCCCTTCCTCTGCCCGTGCCGCCCCGAGGGCGCCCCGCACTCACCGAGCCCCAGGCAGGAGACCCGCAGGCCGGACTTGCCCAGGTTCCTGAAAGACAAACGCTCGTGAGTCCTCAGCGCCAGGGCAGCCCCCACCAGCCAGCCCCCTCCCGCTCCCGCCCAGTCCGTATGTGTCCCGAGGCTCCGAAAGGCACGGGGACTGCGGGAGAGAGGCTGCTGCTCCCCGGCCCCTGGGGGGAGGCGCCGGCTGTCCCCTGGCCCACCCAGGGCAAGGCCACGCTGCTAGTGACCAACAAGGACAGATGAGAACGCATGGACGCTGTCTTGTTTCACGGGCAGAAACGTGGCCGATCTCAGCCTTCTGGTACCGTCCCTGGGTGTCCCCTCGCTGGGAAGTCTCCTCTCCCCTCCTCTCCAGAGCCCACGTTCGTGGTTCTGTCTGTCCAGTCCCTCTGTCTGAGGGCAGGCAGGGGACATTCCCGCTCCGCCCGGACCACATGGCCTGTGGGTCTGCCCGTCCTGCGCGGGGGCTGCGCTGTGGGGGCGCCGGGTCCCAGCAAGCCCCCCCCCCCTGCTTTGTTATAGCCACAGCCGGCCCGACGGCAGACACGCTCATGACAGGCTGCCCAGGCTCTGTCACAGGGCCACTGAGGCGTCCCCCCACGGCTGCTCCCCAGAGTCCACAGCAAGGGGCCTCAGGCCGTCGTCAGCATCCTTGGGAGGTGGTCCAGGACCGGCGTGGCCACCTGTCGGGGCAGCATAGGCCCGGCAGCCGCAGGCATCTCGTCACCAGACCCCCCCACACCTCTGTGCACGGGCACTGTGCGCGTGTCGGTGCTGAGTCCCACGTCGTGGAGGAGCTGGGGTCCCAGCCAGGTAGCTGGCTCCCACTCACATGCCTCACGGAGGTGGCACCCCACCCCGTCCTGTTTAGGGGGACCCAGGGCGTGATCTGCCCAGATGGTGCAGTTGACAAGTGGCTGCTGGGTGAGTCTCACAGCCACAGCCAAGCTCTGACCCACGGTGGGGGTGGGGGGGCGCGGACTCCACTTCCCTTGCGGGATCTGCCACGGGGAGAAGCCAGCTCTCCGTCCAAGGGCCCTGGCGTTTCCCGGGGCTGCCACCCTCCTAACCGCAGCCGACGCCGCGTCCTCAGTTTACTCCCTTTCCTGTCCGAGCCTGGCCCCGGGAGGGTGCCATGGGGCTGGAGCCTGACTGACCACTACCCTGACATGGGCCCACTCTGACCCTCCACAGCCTCAGTTTCCCTGGTTACCAGACCCCTGGCCCTCACCTATATACGAGTGAATACAGTACTTGTAAGCGGTTTGAAAACAGCTGAATGTGTCACCAAATTGAAGGTAGTTTTAAATGATCTAGGTTTATTTTGAAATTTCCCTTAAAACCAGTCCAGCCGCCAGCCTCCTGCTCCTGCGGCGTGGCTGGGATCCCCTAAGGGGGGGACACACGAGCAGCTGGCTTCCCTTTCGGGAAGGGGAGGCTCAGGCCTTGGCTATGGGCAGAGGCTCTGAAGCCAGAGCTCAGATCCTGGTTCAACATCCCTGGCCAGATGACCCTGGCATTCTGTGTAAGTGCCTGACGCCTCCATGTTCTCATCTGCAGAATGGGCTCACGATGCTGCCTTTCTCATGGGGGTTGCCAAGAGGATTAAGCAAAATGATGCAAGTTCCCAGGGCATAGGTCACAGGACACTGACTCACAGGTGGCTTGTTAAGGGGGCAGGGCGGCCAAGGGAGACACAGCACGGGGCGTGCCAGGGTGGACGCTTCCTTATACAGCAACAACAGTGGACACACCGAACAGGCTCCAACTACTACCGTGCCAGAAGGGAATGGAAGTCTCCTTTTGTTTTTCTCCCTCCCCTTACACATCAGTGAGATAATCTAACGGTACCCTCAGTATTGCTCACGTGCTGCAGCTCAGAGCGTGTGTCTGGCTGCTGGACAGAAAGAGCCAACATGTTACTTATAGGTGCTGCGTAAGCCAGGTCTGCTCAGTGGTTCAGGTGGTTCTCCTAGGCTAGCTAGGAAGAAACTGCGGGGAGAAATTGCACGTTGCTTAAGAGGGGTCCAGTCATGCAGCAAGAGGACCGAAGGTTCTAATCAGTGGCTTCCAGCAGTGCTGGGTCATCCATCGATCCCTTGGAGAACTGACCAAGGTCCCTTCCCTGGAAATGTGCAGAGACGTGAATACCCTCGGGACTTTGCAATGTCTGGGCATTTGCAGACCCCAGACCCCAGCAGGTGCCCAGAAGGGAGGCAGGCCCCACCTCGGCAAACCACTTCCACAAGGGCCCATGGTGGGAGCAACCTCCTGACCAGGCTCTGTGGAAGGCCAGGTTTTAGGCTTATCCTGAAAATGTCCCTTTTATCAGCGCGGAACTGAATGCCACAAGGTGCTGCACGCTCAGCGGGATGGAGCAGTTCAGCAGCTGACAGGTGAGGACGCCCAACCAGGGGCTGCACCCAACCACACCCGAGGCTAAAGAGCAAAGACACCTTTTCCCACCAGTTTGTGGAGGGTTGGCCAGAGTGGCTCCTACTCCTGATCCTTGTCTGTCCCCGGTCTGACTGGCATGAAACGGACCCGCTTCCCCGGACGGGCTCCGAGTTCCGTCCTGTGCCGGGGTGGGGACCCGGGGCGCCTGGCTCTGCAGCCGCCTTCCCACCCACCACCCATAGGAATGATTTAACAAAACTAGGACACACGAGATGCTGCAATTGCCCTGCTCAACTCGCTTCCCTGTTAAAATGACGGTATTGGATCTGCCATCCGCTGCCAGGCCTCGGGAGAAGGAATGAGAAGGGACAGGGCTCCTCCAGGCAGAAAGCTCTGCAAAGACGGCTGCTCGGCGGGGTGGGGCACGGCGCGCATTTTAGCGGGTCTGGCGGGGGCTGCTGACACGTGGCCGCTCAAGACTGTCCAGACACGAAATCATTTCCTACAGATGTCCTACCCCTCATTAAAACCTGACAAAATGGTAAAAATCGCTGGTCCAAATCTCTAAACCCAAATACTGTTGGCTTCATTAATTTGCCTCGTGTCTCTCATGGTCTAGGGAAACGGCTAATGAGGACACAGACGTAACCTTTGCCAGCAGAAAGCGCTGATGCCCGCCACACAGCTGCTGAGCACGTCACACCCCTCAACACTGCACTTCGGGCTCTGTGAAGCCAGAGCTGGGAGGCTCCAGGAAATTCCGGACCCTTCTAAAAAGAGGCGTTCAGGGGCCGTCCTTCCAGCCCTCTGGGCTGGGGACAAAATTTGGTCAAGTGAAAGGAGGCACCATCCCCGTCGTTAGCTGGTCTGCGGAGTGAGGGACACAGACGTGTCCTGGTAGCGTCTTGCTGCCCGTCTGCTATAATGTGGCGCCCAGAGCAGCTGCCCACCCAGCCCCCAGACTCCAGGCTCCCTAAGGACGGCCTGGGCTTCCATGTCTTTATCTTCTACCTGGAGCTGGTAGTGGCAGGGTCCCAGCAGTGTTGTTTTGGGACGATGCTGGGGTATAATTTGGGGGTGAGAAGCGCAGGCCCTGGGGGCAGTACCCCTGGGACTGGTCAGTGGCTCCTGGCTCGCCTATCAGGCTTGGCACCCCCTCCCCTGCACTGAGCACCTTCCTGGCCTCTGGCAGGAGCATGGCACCTGCAGGCTGTGCCATGTCACTGGCAGCTGTGCCTGGAGCATGCCGCTGGGGAGGGCCAGCTTCCTAGAGAGGTGGTCGGAGTTGGGGGGAGGTTGGATCAGGTCCCATCCTCAGTCCCTGCAGCCCCCACCCTGCACCCCAGGTGTGGCCCTGGGACAGTCACAGTGGAGCAACTTGTGACAGGCCCCCCTCCCCCATGAGGCAGGATGGGACAGGTGCTCTGCACGGGTGCCTGATGGGTCACGCTTTGGGCTCCGAGTCCCGTTTCAGTCGCTAAGAAACCACGCATCACCCTACGGAGATACGAACCTGCCTCCCTCCCCCGACGGCACCAAGGAAATCTCCCCAGGCCTTGCCAGGTGTACAGCTCTGTGTGCTCCTCCATCAGACAGGTGGGCGCCTGCAGTCAGGAAGTGCTGCGGCTGGGATTTGAACCCTGGTCCTTAGGCTGCAAACCCACTGCCCAGTGATCACTGCCCTTAACTGGCTGGCTCACCCTCCCTGCCTCTGGTGTGCATGTGTGTATGTGCACATGTGTACATGCACACACAGGCACACATATGGTCACCATGAGTGCTCATGCTCTTTGAGAACTACTCCCTGGTGGGTCTTAGGAGGGAAACCATGTTAATAGCCATGATTTCCCTGTACATAGTGCTTTATATGCTTAGAAATAGTCTTACTTTTATTAACTCCTTGGATGATCCTAGGGTTGACTTAAAAGTTACAGCAGGTAACAGGTATTTAAATAATAATAATAAAAAAAAACCATGAAGGCTGTCTGGAGAGTATCCAGCCATTGTTAATACAATAAGAAC